GTGAGTTGCCAGTTCGTCCTTTTTCTCTTCCTTCAAATTGGACGCACTTCCAGTTTGATTTTCACTTACCATTAGGATGCGGCAGACCGGATACCACCATGTATGCATCCCCGATCGTTTCCACTTTGTACACGTCATACTTCTCAATGCGAGAATCGAACATGTTGTAGAGAGAGTTCAGAAGAGAGATCACCTGAAATGAACACTTAATTTACTTGTTTCGTAGAGGAGACAGAAAGAGGGAGGAGACAGAGAGAGGGGGAGAGAGAGAGAGAGAGAGAGAGTGAGTGAATCGTCTTCACTTTTGTCTTAAATCACAATAATAATCAATCTATTGAATTAATGTATGACTTATTTCCCTTGCCCTGCTGTGGAACTCATTAAGAAAAGGTATCTGATACCATATATTTTGTCCTATATTGCTTGCTTTTTTTCGTGTATGGCATCCATTCATGCATTATTGGAACCATAATGAAAAAAAAAAAAAACAGCAGGCCCACATGTCCGTCGACAGAATACAAAGCAGCCTAGCAGAAGCACCGTTGGTAGGCCTATATGCACGTCGACAAAATGCAAAGCAGGCAGGTAGAAGCACCGAGAGTAGGCCTGCATGCACGCGAGCCACAAGGAAGCAACACATTAATAGCATCCCCCCCCCCCCCCAAAACGCCGAGCTGCTGCTGCTACACCCGAGACAATCAACATCTCAAAGAGGTCGTGAGGTTGTAGACTGAATTCCCCAATCTATCATAAGACACAAGGAAATATACATATATATGCACACACACACACACACACACTCACACACAAAAACATGTATAGGTAGCAAAGAGGCCGGGGTGGCCGAGTGGTTAGAGCATCGGACTCAAAGACTGTCTGAGTTCGAGTCTCCGGCCGGCGCGTTGTTCCCCTGGGCAAGGACCTTCACCTCGATTGCCTGCAGACACGTGAGTCCACAATCCAGTAGAATGTCCTGAGCCGGTCCCAAGCTCGGATGAATGGGATGGGTTAGCGACAGGAAGGGCATCCGGTTATAAAAACAAACCAAGACTCTAATGCGGATCATTCCGCTGTGGCGACCCTTTAGGGAAGAAGCCGACCTCGTATAGAGACTGGATTGAGCTAAAGAAGGAAAATGAAAATAATAGTGATCCCCTAGAAGAGTCTCTTGAAAAAACGTCGTTATAATTGTCACCCTTAAAAAAAGCGTCCATTTCGCTAAGCTGAGTTGTGACCATTCGGCGTCTATTGCAAACATTCATACATACATATATAGATATATATATACAAACACACACACACATGTATATGACATTGTCCGACGCAAAGGTATGGGAGTCACGTCGCAGTCATTCCATGGCAGTTAGAGAGAATGGGATTGGTAATCGATACCACCAACAAAGAATTGGCTTGGGGCCATTTTAACACTTATAATTATCTGTAGTACGCTGCGAATATAACAAGTTCCCATTAACATGAATAGTGAATGGTGAAGATGTCAAGCAAGTGAGAAATGTATCCGATCGGATCATACACGACTTCACTAACGAGTACCTAATTATATCATACCCTTAATACTAAGGGATATGCACCCCCGCATCTCACACTAGATTAGGCATCGCAGGTCTACAGAAGGAGAGGCAAATTCCGCACTGGTCTCTGTGCACGGAAAATGCACGAAACACCAGGGAAGTTTAACGTACATGACGAAAATACGTACAGAAATTAAATAAACTCCGTGTGCATAAACCAACTCGAGAAATAACATACAGCTCAAAGACTGATATTAAATGACATCATGAAAAATAAACGAGAAACTACTAAAATACGTACAACTCAATGACTTCATTGGCATGAAAAAACGAGAGAAACATAAAGAACACAAAATACGTACTGATCAATGACTGATCTGAAACAATAACAAGAAGAACAAGAAGCATAACGTGCACGACTAAAATACATACAGATCAACGACCGAACTGAAAAGGACAAAAAATCTCCATGCGCATGAAACCCGAAAAACAAACACACACGACTTAAAACACAGATCAATATATGAAGTCAATCACAAGGACAGGAAAATAAAAAAGAGCATCAGACCATCTTTTAACTAACGCCACTTACTTGAATGGGTTCCGACTCAGAACAGATATTCGTGAAGCCGACGATGTCACTGAAGTACACAGAGACTTCCTTGAAACTTTCGGCTGGCACCTGTCATGATTATAGCCATAAATATATAAAGAATATAGATAAAAAGACTGATATGAATATATAAATATACCGAACATATGATAAAAAATATACATAGGTATAGATATATACACCGAGCATTTAATAAAAGATATAGATAAACATTTATGTATGTACAGACAAACAGATAGATAGATAGATAGATACAAATAAATAAATATACCGAACATATAATTCTGAAAAGAAAAGAAAAGATATAGATAGATAAACTCACCGAACATGAAATCGAAAGAAAAAAATATAAACA